AAGAGAGCTATGAGCTGTGTTACCCTGGTGAGACTACTGAGGGATAGGGGAAATCTCAGCTTAAAACAGCAGTGTGTCCTAATACTTTCTTCCTTCATCTTACTGGCTACTTTGAGAGGAGTTTGGGATAGGTCTTTTTCTACTTGTGCAGTTGTCTCTCCTCTCCAATTCATGTGGCAGGTACACTGGAACTTGTTCAATGCACTGGCCATACTGAGTAGGGTGATTTGTGCTGAAAAGCAGTGTTTACTCACAACCTCTAACTAACTGGTACTTAAATCAGACCTGATGATTGCCCTTACTGTGGCTAAAACTTATCAGTCAACATATTTTCCAGAACAGTGTGATACAGATGAAGCAGAACAGGAAGATCTTACTATGTCTCAGCCTTTCTTAATATACTGCCTCAGCATGTCTTATGTGTTTGAGCAAAATTGCTCAATGTGCTATTAAGTACAAGAGTATGATATGGAGACTCTCATCTCCAGCTGCTGCAGGGTGATGGAACTTAGGAGCTCAGCTTCTGCATGCATTAGTGTATCTACATCCATGTTCCCTACAGGTACCTGGTGCAGTAAAGGCTGAGACACAAAAGACACAAACCCCAGTGCAGATATAGCCACTTCATAGGACTTACAAGCACCTGAGATGAAGGACAATTCTGCACATAGATCTAGTCCTTCTGGTACAATCCTTACTTGGGCTTGGTAGGGCCGGGACTCAGTTCTGTCCTTCACTGTAAATCTTGTCTAATCAAAGGCAAGTCATTTAGCTATTGAGCTTCAGTTCTGAATCTATAAAATGGGACTAATAACAATGTCATCTTCTTGAGGCACCACAAGGATAAATATGTTAATGATTATGAGGTGCTGGCTGATGGGAAGCAGGTTTGTGTGTAATCATATCCTGCACTGTACACACCAGACCATAAAATATCGAACCCATGCTTGGTTGCAAGGGTCCTGTGAATAACTCGTGCATTAGAAGCTCCTTAGGAACTTGACAGGAACGCTCTGTTGGGGCATGGTAAATTGTTTCAAATCTGCTTTCCATAGGGAGCACTGCAGATCCCCAGGCTGTCAAATTTGCACCCAGCTGACATTAGGATGCTGAAGTCTGACACAGACTCTAATGGCTTCGTGCAGAAGAGGAATGTGCTGTTTATTTATCATGGATTTGCAACCACCAACTGCTTTCCTAGTAGCTTTCTTCCCTTTCTTTTATCCCAACCCTACCACCCACACACAATAATCTATCAGGGTTTAAAGCAGACAACCTGTTCTGAATTCAGTGTCACAAAATAGTATCAGAAACACTCAAACTTTTGAATATTTATTTGTGTAAAACGTAGAGGAACCAAATTCCATAAAGAAGGATCTTTGTGTAGTTACAGTTTTCAGCACTTTATGCAAAAGCCTCACATTGTTTGGTTGCAGATAGGGCTTGATTCAGTGTTTTGGCTCCAGCAAAGCACATACTTACATGTTAAGCATGCATATTACCAGTTGTTCACTGTCCCAGAGTCCTAAAAAAAAGTTCCTTTGAGAAAAGCTGGTTTCTGTCAAAACCCTGTTGGGCAGCTGTAGTACTTTGATTCATTAGTGTTATTACTGCAGACTGTGTAGCCCTTTTTCTCCTAAGGATATGAATAAAAGCTCTCTTAAAGCTTAAAACTGCATCGGACATCTGTTTCTCAAAATGACTGTTAGCTCAGTTCATAAGCAGCCATTAAATCAGTTCGTACATATTAAACAAAAGAACATGTAAATTAATCTTTGGAAACATGACTAATCATTTCAACCATAGGTAACCTAATACTCTCAATTACTGCTTGGAAAAATAAGGCATGTATGAATACAAATGTGCTTTTCAGTGATGCATTATTTATTTCGTAGGACCTATCAGCTCAGTAGGTGCTGCTCAGACAGAAAGGCAATGCTCCCAGTCTCCTGGACCGTGCAGATTCACTCTTGTTGGATACACAGAGCTGCTACCCATAGGGGATGTTTAAATGTCAGACTAAACACTGCTGCTCTTAAGACCTCTGTGGGCTGGAAGCTCCAGATGTCAGAGTTCAGTGACACTTGTGGAGTCTTGCTTCGTTCACTATATAATTTCTTGATGTAATAATTTCTGGGACTGAGTCTTTAGTTGTCCGTGGTAATTAGCTCTGTGCACTCCTGTGAGGTAGGTGAGTAGTCTCTCTGCTTTACAGATGAGGACAGAGGAGTTAATTTGCTACAGTTGCAGAGAGACAGGGTTAGGATAGGGGAATTCTTGACCTTTTCCACCCCTCAAGGGTCCCCCCTTGATCAGGCAGCATTGCTGAAATTGATGGGGTTTTTGCCTCTTGGCTGACTCAGACTCCTCTACTGCAAGCTGAGGCATGGAGTAGAAACCTAGAGCTAGCACACTGCATTAATACACGTGTTGAAGCTAAATTTATCTGCAGTTGTTGCATTTCATTGTGCCAGGATTCAGGTATTGCCCACGCACATCCTCAGTGTCTGAAGGTGAGGTTTGAGTGATAGATAGAGGTCTCCCAAGGCTGTATTACTTTGACAAGGATTTTTCAGCATGTCTCTGCTCTTTATCGCTCTCTCCCTTCTCAAGAAGGAGAAAGTGGTGTGGTTCAACATGCCTGACTCTCATATTTCTTTCTGGGATTTCCCAGATAACTGTGTGTGCACTGGTGCCCTCATACACCGTGGTCGTTTGTCCAGGGGCCCACAGAGGCCTCAAATCCCTTCTGCATTCAATTTCCAGGCAGAAAGACAGGTTGAGTCTAGGGAAACCTGAACACATGGTAGCTCTGTGGCCGTGTGCTAATTCCATTCAGCCCTGAACAGCTGTGCAGGGAAATGAAGGCAGGTTTCTGGCAAGCAGAGTAGGGAGCAACCCTCCGGCAGGCGGGGCTGGCAGGACTGTCCTGGTGGTGACCTGCTGGTGCACTGTGCCCTGAGCATCTCAGGTGGTTGCCCTTCCCTTGTGGGAAGAGGGAGGAGTTGTGTCACTCCAGAAATCCTCTCGGGATAACCCCAGACTGTCACATGGTGTGACTGGTTTGGAGCATGTGAGTAACAGTGGCACCACTTCCAGGAGTGGAGTCCACCGCCCTTGTAGTTCCTCTGGCTTGGTAAATAGGGCATGTGGAT